TCAAATTAAAAGTTTAAAAACTGAAAAAACTTAAAATAGAATAAAATAGAGGAATTAACCTAAAATGAAATAAAGAAAACATACAAAATTAAATAGAGAAAAATAAGGTTGATGATAAAAACAAAATTTGAGAAAATTAGATAAGAAAAGTTTGTGACGAGAGGGAAACGTGACTTAAAGTGACTGAAGGATGAAGTGGGGTGACTGACGAGACGACATTCCTTTCCTGAAAAGGCTTCTTCTTTTATATGGTAAAGATGAACAACTTTATTTTATTATTATTATTCATTTGAAACATTGAAACTCCTTAAACTAATCACTGTTTTGTTTTTTTTTTTACTCCCTGCCCTTCAAACATGGACTCCCTGATCGGAGCCGCTCAGAATTCAGACCTGGAGGAGATGCACCCCTCCCATCAGCCCGCCGGAGAAAGGCAGCCTGCTTCAAGCATCAATCTCCCCCCACCCCCCAAGGCACACACACCGTCACAGCAACTGGATGGAAATGATGGGTTAAAATATGGGGATTTTCATCTGCTCTGAACCCCTGACCCTAATAGCTCACCTGAGCTGCAACCTGCTTCACAATGTGTGTGTGTGTGCAAAAAACCATGAGGACAGAGACACTGGGGAATTTCTTTTTTGTGGGGAAACTAGGAGGAGGTGCACCAACATGAGGCTTTCCTTCTCTGCGGTGCTAAATTATTTTTTAATTATTTGTTTTTGTTTGAGAAGTGGCTGACCTTTTTGGACTGAGGTGGGGGGGCTCCAGGACTGAAACCGCCTGTTGGCAGCAATGAGTAAAAGGGTAAAGTGATTGATTATATATTTTATTTTCCATTTCCATAGACCTCAAACTATGCAAGAAAAGCTTGATAACTTTCTCTTATTAGATTCCTTTCTGCATCTTGCAATGAAGAAAACAGACTGACTTCCGTGACATGACTTTATCTATGGGAAAATGTCTAATGAGGGTGATGATGTACAGCCTGGTTGGCTTTCACTAAAGATGAATATTTTAGAGTCAGTATAATCATTTCTGATGAAATTATAACCAACCTTAAATATCTAAACCAAAAATTATCTTTTTAAAAGAGAAAAACTCAGCAGCAACTGTCTTTTCCTATGTCGGCTTCAGGACTGGAAAACAAAACGTTATTTATCAGGCCTGTGGTTGTTTAAAAACAGGACGGGTCTCGTTTTGTTCATTTCCTGCTGTCACCATGTTCCATAATGTTATGGACGGACCTGGAGATGAAAACTGAGGCAAATCCAGAGAGAGAAAAGGGTCCAAACATGGTCTGACACAGTAGTTGTGAAATGCGCACAGGTTTTAGTCACAAACCAAATTCTCTATTTCCACAGCAGCCACTCGGAGAGATTAGCTTCATCTCTTCATGATTTTGTGGTATGTTGCTTTGTCCCTGTGCCATGAATGTCTGAGGTTCTGACCAAGACAGAGAAAAGGTGACGGTTGCTCTGACTTATGAAAATGTAAACAAAACAGCAACTTATAGAGGAAAAAGAATGAATAATATAATCCAATAGGATAAAATCTAAACTTATGTGTCAGTTTAATCTGAATTAGATTTCACTAAATAACGAAAACTAAGAGAATTAGATTTTCCTTTCCTCCAGAAAATTATTAATACACATGTATATCACTTAAAACATATGATCAATGAAATCAGCGATTTTCATCCCTTAAGTGTTTAAAATAAATGTTACCCTACAGATCACTAAATATATGGGATGTAGTTTGGAAAAACGCAACTAAAATATATAAAAGCTATGAGTTTATTAACTAAAATGGCAGATTTGCAAAAAATAAATAATTAATTCCTGAAAGATTTGAATCAAAGTGGCATGTTTTTCTGAGAGTGAAATAATATGAATAATAATTTTTGGCACATTTAAAAAGAAGTATGTTTACAAGAGAATGAAACCTAAAACCTACTTATTGGATTTAAATCTAGGATGATAAAAAACAAAAAAACATCCTTACTTTCAGAATTAGGATTGAAATAGCACCTGACATAAAGTTATAAATGGTTAATAATGCTTTCTACTGGGACTGGGACATGAAAGGCGATTAGGAGTTTTCACCTGAGAACCCAAAAGACCCCCCCCTTTATCTACACATATAGATTTATTTACCTTTAAAGTTTAATCTAAATCTTAATTAATTAGCAAAATAACTAGTATAAAAATGAATTAGGCTGATTAAATTTGCTTTTAAATTATTGAAAATTTATTAAGAAGTAAATATATCTTAAGCTGATCTGTAATAACTATACAAATATATTAAACCTACACTACCGTTCAAAAGTTTGGGGTCACATTGAAATGTCCTTATTTTTGAAGGAAAAGCGCTGTACTTTTCAATGAAGATAACTTTAAACTAGTCTTAACTTTAAAGAAATACACTCTATACATTGCTAATGTGGTAAATAACTATTCTAGCTGCAAATGTCTGGTTTTTGGTGCAATATCTACATAGGTGTATAGAGACCCATTTCCAGCAACCATCACTCCAGTGTTCTACTGGTACAATGTGTTTGCTCATTGGCTCAGAAGGCTAATTGATGATTAGAAAACCCTTGTGCAATCATGTTCACACATCTGAAAACAGTTTAGCTCGTTACAGAAGCTACAAAACTGACCTTCCTTTGAGCAGATTGAGTTTCTGGAGCATCACATTTGCGGGGTCAATTAAATGCTCAAAATGGCCAGAAACAGAGAACTTTCATTTGAAACTCGACAGTCTATTGTTGTTCTTAGAAATGAAGGCTATTCCATGCGAGAAATTGCTAAGAAATTGAAGATTTCCCACAACGGTGTGTACTACTCCCTTCAGAGGACAGCACAAACAGACTCTAACCAGAGAAGAAAAAGAAGTGGGAGGCCGCGTTGCACAACTGAGCAAGAAGACAAGTACATTAGCGTCTCTAGTTTGAGAAACAGACGCCTCACAGGTCCCCAACTGGCATCTTCATTAAATAGTACCTGCAAAACACCAGTGTCAACATCTACAGTGAAGAGGCAGCTGCAGGATTCTGGGCTTCAGGACAGAGTGGCAAAGAAAAAGCCATATCTGAGACTGGCCAATAAAAGAAAAAGATTAAGATGGGCAAAAGAACACAGACATTGGACAGAGGATGACTGGAAAAAAGTGGTGTGGACGCATGAATCCAAGTTTGAGGTGTTTGGATCAGAATGAACAACGTTTGTGAGACAGAACAAATGAAAAGATGCTGGAAGAATGCCTGACGCCATCTGTTAAGCATGGTGGAGGTAATGTGATGGTCTGGGGTTGCTTTGGTGCTGGTAAGGTGGGAGATTTGTACAGTGTAAAAGTGATTCTGAATAAGGAAGGCTATTACTCCATTCAATTTCATCCTACAACAGTACAATGACCCTAAACACACCTCCAAATTGTGCAAGAACTTTTTAGAGCAGAAGCAGGCAGCTGGTATTCTATTGGTGGGGACAGTGATTGTCCTCCATGTTATGAATGCTGGCGTACCATAAAGAATAAATGATGAACAGTTTAGTTTGTGCCTTCAAGTCGTTGCCCATAGGAAGACGTTACTTGGATATAACCTAACGGAATATCTTCAGAACGGCTCCATTGAGCTTGACGCAGATATTTTTGATTTATGCTCAACTTTGAAGCGTGGTCTGCGAAACGTTATTATTCCACGCCACAACGTAGGAGGTACAATCATGAACTAGTTGTGGGTCTAGATACAGCTGAGGCAGCGAGGAAGTGGGGGCAAGTTTGTCCGACAAAAGAGGGACATGAGGGCAAAAATGCTAGAAGGTGAAAAAAGGGTCTCAGCGTGCAACTCGCTCTTCTAACTGGTCCAACTTCACCAATTGTTTTTTTCGCAATTGTAGTCATATAAAGAAAAAAAACAAGCCGGCAAGCGGATGTAGATTTGACCAATCAGAGGCCTCCTGTCTGCGGCACCGTCTGTGGTCACCTACAATTTGGGAGAGGTGCAGCAGAGTGTCTGCGGAGGGGGCGGGGACGTCTTTGCATTCACTGCGTCACCTACACAGACTACCTAGTTTTGAAGTATAAATCAGCCTTTAGGGTCCTTCACAGTGACGCACAGTTGCTTTACTGTGGACTGAAAAGTCAAATAGGAGGAGCCTGAGCTGCATGAATCTTTGCATGAGAGTAACAGGGAAAAGATTGAACTTGTGTTTCGAGATTGAAGCCAATATTTGTTCTGCAGAATAATGCAATAAAATGTAATATATGTTAAATTAACCCTGTCTTTCTTTGCATTACCCATATTGTGTCTTAAGAAGAGGGGCATTATGTATTTTTACAATATTTTTGAATCTTTCTCTACTTATTGTGTCTAGAGTTGGAGTCAGAAAAGGTTGAGAATCTAGCTCTGTAATGAGGTCAGCGAAGACAGTGTGCTAGATAAAAAGCTGGATCAGAGCAGAATGGGATGGTGCTCAGGCTTTCTGGAATGCACCTCCCTTTTATTTTGGCCTTCTGTGTTAAATGTGTGTGCATAACCTCATTTGGGGATTATCCATAGTGTCACAGTGGAGCTAGTGCTCCAGCAGTCTTTGGGCAAAAGGTGCAGTAAAACCTGAACAGTTCAGAAAACGAAAGCTAAAAAATATTTTTAACATTTCTTTAATAAAGAAATGTTTAAAATATTTTTTTGATTTGATTCCCGGCCCGGGGTCTTTCTGCATGGAGTTTACATGTTGTCCCTGTGCATGCGGGGTTCTCTCTGGGTACTCCGGCTTCCTCCCACAGTCCAAAAACATGACTGTTAGGGTAGTTGGCCTCTCTAAATTCTCCTTTGTTGAACTGTAAAGTGCCTTGAGATGACTTGTGTTGTGACTTGATGCTATATAAATAAACTGAATTGAACTGAATTTATATGTAGTTAGATCAACACACAGATCAAAGTGAAGTGTACTTTTTTAACCTACAACAGAAAGTGTTTCTGCTGTTTGTCTTTCTAGACCATCTACAGGATTATGTTGGAAAAGAGGAGGATTTCTCTGACCAGCAGCTCTATGAACAAGAGAGGAATTCCAGTTCGGGCCAAGAGGAACCAGAACCTCTGCAGATAAAAGAAGAGCAGAAAGAACCAGAACATCCCTGGACAAAAGAGGAAACCATGGAGCTCCCCATAAGTGAGCAGGAAGAGCAGCTTGTTCTGAAGCAAGAGACAGAAGTTACAGGAGAGAAACCTTCCCCATGTTTAAAATTTGGAAAAGACTTTTTTTTTTAAAGAACCTTTAATTGTTCACATGAGAACCCACACACATAAGAAGATTTATAAATGTCCTTCCTGTGGAAAAATGTTCACAAAAAAATCTGATCTTGATAGACACATTAGAAGTCACACAGGTGAGAAGCCTTTTTCCTGTACCATTTGTAACAAGAATTTTACTGAAAAGGGAAATTTGACTATTCACATGAGAATTCACACTGGTGAGAAGCCTTTTTCCTGCACGATTTGTGGCAAACGTTTTACTTTAAAACATTGTTTGACTGGACATATGAGAATTCACACTGGTGAGAAGCCTTTTGAATGTCTATCCTGTGGAAAAATGTTCACAAAAAAATCTGATCTTGACAGACACATTAGAAGTCACACAGGTGAGAAGCCTTTTTCCTGTACCATTTGTAACAAGAATTTTACTGAAAAGGGAAATTTGACTATTCACATGAAAATTCACACTGGTGAAAAGCCATTTCCCTGCACGATTTGTGGCAAACGTTTTAGTGTTAAACATTATTTGACTGGACACATGAAAATTCACACTGGTGAGAAGATTTATGGATGTCTGTCCTGTGGAAAAATGTTCACAAAGAAATCTGACCTTGTTAGACACATCAGAACTCACACCGGTGAGAGGCCTTTTTCCTGTACCATTTGTAACAAGAATTTTACTGGAAAAAGTAGTTTGACTAAACACAGTAGAATTCACACAGGTGAGAAGCCTTTTTCCTGTACCATTTGTAACAAGAATTTTACTGGAAAAAGTAGTTTGACTAAACACAGTAGAATTCACACAGGTGAGAAGCCTTTTTCCTGCACGATTTGTGGCAAACGTTTTACTTTAAAACATTGTTTGACTGGACATATGAGAATTCACACTGGTGAGAAGCCTTTTTCCTGTACCATTTGTAAAAAAAAATTTGCTATAAAAGGTAATTTGACTGCTCACATGAGAATTCACACCGGTGAGAAGCCTTTTTCCTGTACCATTTGTAAAAAAAATTTTGCTAAAAAAGGAAATTTGACTATTCACATGAGAATTCACACCGGTGAGAAGCCTTTTTCCTGCAAGATTTGTGGCAAACGTTTTACTTTAAAACATTGTTTGACTGGACATATGAGAATTCACACTGGTGAGAAGCCTTTTTCCTGCAAGATTTGTGGCAAACGTTTTACTTTAAAACATTGTTTGACTGGACATATGAGAACTCACACAGGTGAGAAGCCTTTTTCCTGCAAGATTTGAGGCAACCGTTTTACTCTAAAAAGGTAATTTGACTAGAGAGACACGTGAGAATTCACACGGATGAGAGGCTGTTTTCCTGAATGATTTAAAACAAAGGTTTTAAACAAGAGGGTAATTTGAGTAGTTAGATTACAGTATTCATGTATGATGTGGAATGATTTATATTTAAAAATAAATTGCAATACATAAGTCATAGCAGTTAGTGGTCACAGGAATTAACAGTTGAGGCGTTTTCTTGACTAGTGATGAAATGTCCATCTAGAAACTCCTTCACCTCATAACATGGGCGGATCTACAGGGGGGCAAGGGGGGGCAGCTGACCCCCCAATATGGAGCCTTGCCCCCCCAGCTGCCCCCCTAACTTTGATGATCCAAAAGCTGTACCTGTAAAAACAACCTGCCACTATGTTATAATAATAATAATAATAATACATTTTATTTAACAGCGCCTTTCTTGACACTCAAGGTCACTTTACAAATAATACAAAAAATAAATAAAAAGAGATGAAAATACAAAATACAGATACAGGAACATAAAAAACAGAGAACAAAAAACAATTATGGATAGGGAAAAGAGCAGTGTATTCACAGATAAGCGAGCTGGAACAGATGGGTTTTGAGTCTGGCTTTGAATAAGGGGAGAGAGTCAATACTGCGGAGGTCGGGAGGAAGTGAGTTCCAGAGCTGGGGAGCAGAGCGGCTGAAGGCTCTGCTCCCCATGGTGACAAGTCGAGCTGGGGGTACAGTGAGGTGGATGGAGGAGGAGGATCTAAGGGAGCGGGAGGAGGTGGCAATGTGAAGGAGGTCTGACAGATATGAAGGAGCAAGGTTATGGATGGCTTTGAAAGTATAGAGAAGGATTTTGAATTGAATTCTGAATTGAACTGGGAGCCAATGGAGTTGGTGAAGAACAGGGGAAATATGATGGAAGGAGGGGGTTCTGGTGATGACACGAGCAGCGGAGTTCTGAAGAAGTTGAAGTTTATGGAGAGATTTATGAGGGAGGCCGAAAAGAATAGAATTGCAATAATCAATATGGGAGGTGATGAGGCTGTGGATAAGGACAGAGGCAGTATGAGTGGTGAGGGAGGAACGGAGACGGTTAATGTTGCGAAGGTGGAAGTATGCAGACCTGGTAATTTTATTAATGTGAGACTGAAAGGAGAGGGAGGAGTCGAGGATGACACCCAGACTCTTGACCTGAGGGGAGGGGGAGACTAAGGAGTTGTCAATGGGTAGTGAGAAACTTTTGATTTTTGATAGGGTGGATTTAGTGGCAACGAGGAGGAGTTCTGTTTTATCACTGTTAAGTTTAAGGAAGTTTGAGGTGAACCAGTCTTTAATTTCAAGTAGGCAGTTAGTAAGGGACAAGGGGGGGAGAGAGGAAGTGGGTTTACTGGATAAATAAAGCTGGGTGTCATCCGCATAACAGTGAAAGTGAATGTTGAATTTCCGGAAAATACTGCCAAGGGGAAGAAGGTAGGTGATGAAGAGGAGGGGGCCAAGAACTGAGCCTTGAGGAACACCAGAAGTGACAGGGGAAGGGTGCGAAGTGAAAGATTTGAGCTGAATAAACTGAGTGCGGTCTGAGAGATATGAGCGGAACCAGTCAACATGTTCACAGGCTTCTCAAAACAATACATTTACCAAAAGGTTGCAATTTAGTTTTTTATTTTTAATGTATTATTTGCCACCGTCCCTCAAATACTTAGCTACGCCCCTGATTCAAACGTGCAGAGCGCAGTTCGCGCTCAGTCTGTCTGACACACACACACACACACAGTCTGCAGCGTCGCGGTGGCTCTGTAGTGTGCAAACCAACTGGAGAGACTGAGCTGTCCCAGGGCATCTGAAGGTGAAGTGACTTTTACCAGGTGTAGTTTAAACACACGTTTCACTTAAAAGTTACATTTGTAGTCAATATCTGCTAAAGACGATTAGCAAAAACAGCGAGTGTGTCGGTCAAATCCTTCCCTCGGGATTTGTAAGAGCACTCTTCCCTTTGATTAATGTTAAGAAAAAAACAGCTTAATAAAAAAATACAAAATATTTTTTTTATCCATAACGTTAACTGATTTACTGATGGTAACCGTTATGCCGCCGTTACGTTACAACACGCAGGCTACAGTGTTGATTTGATTAGCTGAGCAGTCCTATAAATCCACTTCCTCTCAGATATCGCAGCAATGAAACCAGGTTATAACTGGGGAAATAACAAATACAATAGAATTAAGTGGTCTAAACATAACTGGTGTGTGAATGTGATAAATCTTTCTCATTTATATTTGTTATATAGGCTATACTACAATACCTATATATATATATATATATATATATATATATATATATATATATATATATATATATATATATATATATATATATATATATATATATGTATATATATATATATATATATATGTATATATATATATATATATATATATATATATATATATATATATATATATATATAGGTATTGTAGTATATGCTACTTAACTTATAAGTTCCATGGCCCTACAGTGTAGGCTAATGAAATACAAGGATAACCAGAGGTTTTCACATATTGACTTTTGCATGCAAATATTACTTCATAGGCCTAGCCATGAAAAGGAAGGCTAAAAGTGGGGATATAACCAGCTTTTTTGCAAAGAAAATTCCAACAAGTACACAAGAGGAAGAGCGCAAGGGAAATGAGGGAGAAGACAGTAAACTGGAGAGCCCAGGAGGGTCAGTGCAGGAAAAGACTGAAGGAGACACAGAAATAAGTGACGAAAAAGAGGAAATACATGAAGGAGACACAGAAATGAGTGAAGGAAATGAGGAAATAAGTGCTTGTAGTCCACTGCATCTTGGACACAATTATTATAACAAATAAATTAAAGGGATTTTGCTTGTTAGACTTTTACTTTTTAAAAGATGCAGGGTTTTTTTTGTTCGATCACTGCACTTTGCTTATTCTGTTGTGAATTTAAAAGAAAAACTTTGTAGTGTGTAAGGGCATGATTAAACAACAACTACTGTAGTTTAAAAGTGTTTTGTGTTTATTTGGTTAAAGCAGCTCACATATAAGGATTCCCATGTACCGTCTACTTCTGCCACCCTGCCAAGACCTCTTGCCACCCCTTTGCCCCCCCATGTAAAATTTTCTAGATCCGCCACTGCCTCATAACATGAAAAACTCAAAGGTTAATGGTCTTTTTGGAGCAAAGTTTTGAGAGAACCAATTAATGAAGAGCTTATTTTACATAAAAACTAGAACAGATAAGCTGTTATACTGTAAACCTGGTAAATATTAAGGTCCTGGTTGAATATGGATGTGAAAATTTGAAAGTTAATTATTTTGGGCTACCCTAACAAAAAAAAAGTTTTTACATTCAAAATGTCTTACATTTTCTGTAATTAGGGAATAATCATAATAAAGTGCAACAAAATTATCTTGGTTACAGATGAAGCAAGTTTTGTGTCCATACAACAAGCCATTGAGAAGTTATAGTTTAAGTTTAAATTGGAAAGAATCCAGACGGACCCATACTGTGCCATTTTGGCATGGTGTGGCACAACTTTTTCTGAATGAATTTATTCATTTATCTTTTAGCTGAATGATAAGCTATTGCTTGGATATACTGCAGGAACAAGACTTTTATTCAGATGAAAATATCCTCAGATGAAAATGAAAGCAAAGGTAGGACAGATTTAATGTGCTTTGCTCAGTTTTTATGAAGATTTTGGAGGATTTTTTAAAGGTAGGCTGCAAATGATGAGAGTTTAGCTAATTCAGTGTCTTGTTGGCTTTCATTAGCAATGCATCAATCAGCCCTGCTACGTGTGTTGTTGAAACCAGGCCCACCAAAACTCCAACTGTTTTAGCCACAGTGTTAGAGCTATGGTCAATAGATATTAGAATGAAGTAGATCATCTATAGAGGAGTCTCAGATGAAGATTTGGGACATATAGAAGTGTGTGTCAGTCTCAGAGTTAGTCAGCTACAAGCTAATTAATGTTGCAAAGTAGCTCCAGCCACCTTGAAAGGGGGTGCTGGGATTATGGGGTTAAACTACGGGACATCAAAGAACTCAGTTTAGAGGCTGGAGTCTGTAGTTCAGGGAAATTGAAGTCCTAAAATGATGAAACATGTTTGTTTAAAAAGATAAACTAGATTGATGATGTTGCTGTTATTTTACTGATCAGTTTGAACCTGCTTTAACTCGGTAAAAAGCCTTTGTCTTAATAATGTATTAAAGAAATCTGACTCTCCTCTAGAAGTGTGAAGTTTCTGCTTTTTAAAGATTTTTGAAATTATAATTTTCCTTTGAACTAATTCTAATAGTTTTTTTT